TTTTCAAAAAGGTTCGACCAAAGTGGTAGCAGAGAAATTGGTCTTATAAACTTGGTCTCATTTAGAGGTTTACCAGGTTTTGGTATCATTATAACTTCTGCCACCTTCCAAGTTTTAGACACATATTTTAACTTAATGCAGAATTCATTAAAAAAGTCAACATTGTTATACCCTTTTCTGGTAATTGCTTCAGTATTCCGAGGTAATTAAATCATAACCCGGTGCTTTCCTTGACTTTAAACTTTTTATTTTTTCCACTATTTCTCTTTGTGCAAATGAACCGATAACGATTTCGGCTCTCACAAATCACATTGCAATATTTATGTTTGAGTATATGTCATTTAGCCTAAAAATTTGTTTAAGATGATCTGCAAATATTTCAGCCTTATCCATATTTTCTATTACCCATTTGCCATCCGTTCCCCTAATAGCGGGGACATGTAAAATTGCCTTTTTAATATTTTTTGCAGCCCTCCATAAGGAATAATTACTTTCTTGTTCGCCTGAAAAATTTTTAATGTAATTATCAAATAAAACTTCTTTGGTTTTTCTTATTTTTTGCGATTGAATACAGTTTTATCTGCCGGATCTCGGGAGTTTTGCCATCTGCGTCTAGCTTTTCTCTTTTCGCTTATCATATTTAGTATTTCTGTTGGGTAAGTCATACTAAATCAATTTTAAATATCAAAGTAAATAAGTAAAGTAATAAGTAAAGTAATCAATAATAAAATATCAAAGTAAAGTCATAGTAAATCAATTTTAAATATTAAACAACTTAAATATTTAATATAAATAAAACTACGGCAGGCTAGTGACCTACCTAGTTAACTCTATGACGCTATGAAACTAGTGCATGATATCATGCATTAGCCCTATACTTCTCCTAGGAGTAAAGAAGGATAAAAAAAAAAGTCATACCCACGCATTTATACTCATATTGTTTCGTATTATTCCAGGGAGCGCTTTGTATGATTTTCTTAAAATTCTCTACCTCAGAATCCAAATCATCTTGGGTTCGTATTTTAATTCTTAAGTTTATTTTATTCTCTATCGCTTCTTTAAAACTAGTCCAGTCAGTGGATTTATTAATCAACATGGGCTTATTATGTTTCTGATGATATAACTGCAGAATGATCTAAATCATAGTTATCTTCTAAACTAATGAAATTCGGCGAGATTTTCGTGATAATAAAGAAGTGTAGCAGATCTTGTAACTTATTTCTATCACTTGGATAATATGTTTTATATTATTTCTTGTCAAAATAGCGCAACCATCTTTTAATTCATTATTAGGATGCGTCGCTTTATATTCTATGTAACCACTTATTTTAATATCTGTTTGCTGTTTTAAATGTGTCTCTTTTACTAAACATAATATATCAATATTTTGGGTGCTTTGGAATATTTCTAATATACGCTTTTTATTAAGAACGCCATTTGCGTTCCACGTTAGTTCGTTCGTCCATAGTTTTTATTATATTTTTCATCATTTGCATTATATTTATGTTGCTTTTAACAGGTTTTTGAGGTGGTAAATCTCTTCGTTCTTTTGTATGGTTATATGTTTCACCTCTCGCCACTTGGGCATGTTGTATTCCCAGCACTCTTTTATTCAATGTGGTTGATTTTGAAGTTTTGGGAGTATTTTTTGGTATTATTTTTATTTGTTTCTGCTTTGTAAGGTTATTTTTCCTTTTGCGTAATTCCTTTGCGACTATACATCCCCTGTAATTCGCAGGATGTGCCTCAGAGCAATTTGCACACTTTGGAGCTTCGATTTTTTGCTTACTACAATTTACCGTTAAATGAGGACCAACACACTTATATCCCACTATACTGGCAGTGAAGCACTGCTACACCATCTTTACTCCAAATTATATGAAAATTTATATTAAGCTTGTTGCTTAATTATTGGAATTTTGACTCATAGAAAAAAAATCAGAAAACTTGAATTAAAACTTTATTATTAGGTAAATAACAACTTTAACGCAAAGTTCTAATTAATTTTGAAATTAGTAAGCTAAGTAGTCTATTGAATCTCATTCTAGAATCGAAATGAAACTATTCTTATGTTTTTAATGTGTCTTCTTATGCATTAGTATAATATGAATTTATATGTATTGCAATAACAGAAAGAACTAATTGCATATTCTTGAATTGTCTATTTTTAAAGTGCTTTCATTTTATTTTTTTAACAAATAGCAGACTTTTGCAGAATAATTTTTTAACTCTGCAAAATTCTCTGGCAGAGAGAAAGAATTTCAAAATATTTAAAATAATAATATATTGTCAAAACTGAAAAAGAATTATACAATATAATAAAATATATACATGTACATGCGTAAATAAGCAATATTCTTTCAAAATTTGGTGTTTTTTTGCAAAAGTAATGCAAAAATCCATATATGTTATGAGTATTCAAGATTTTTTTTATTCATTAAAATGTTATTATGGTTCGTTGCTTTATTCCCGTACCAACGTATGTTCGAAAGGTATACTAAATTTGCCTTACCATTTGTAACGCTGAGAAATTATGATTTAAGATATAGACTCAACTACATGTTTTTGATCAGCGTCGATTCTGAGTTGGTTTAGCTTTGTTTATCCGTCGGTCCGTCACAACGAAAATATCTCAAAAACTAATTGAGCTAAGTTCACCAAATTTTTACAAATGATGTATTATAGTAAATGCTGAACCGTACTTGAATCGGATATGGTCGAGGTACTGATTTGGGTACAACTTCAAAATTATTTAGCTATTAAAAGCTGTGGTATTGAAATTTCGCACAAGCAAGTATATTAATAAGGCCAATGTGTTTGATAAAAGTCAATGGAATCGTTTGGTTCCCTCTGGTACCAAGTTCTTTTCTATACAACTTGAAAAGTTATTTGGTTATATCTTAAACTGTTCACCCTACTATACTGAAATTTTGTAAAATAAAATATGGTAAAATGGCAGCTAGTTCATTAAAAGTTGTTGAGATTTCATGACCACTTGTGATAGCTGCCATACAACTCCAAAGGTTTTTCGGTATTATCTCAGAAATTATTGTAGCCAAAATATAGAAATTTCGTGATAAAAGTATATTTTTGGGGCTGTATTGTGTGATAAAAATCGTTGAAATTTCTTGATTTCTTGTGGTAACTGCCATACAACTTCAATAGTAGTGACAAAATTTTGCATAAATTAATATGGTAATACGGCAACCTAAAGTTATCTGTCTAGAGGCATATTTACTGGCACATAGGACAACAAATTCGTGTGGGTATCACAAAGTTGACACGGTCAACTCTATTTTTTCTCGTTTTTTTCTTAAATTCAAAATAAGAAAACTATTTTAAAATTTACTCCGCTTTTTTGTAAATGAAACATTGCCATTTTTTACGCAACAACGAAAAATTAAAACGATCAAACTATAGAAAATAACTTTTTTACCGACTGTATTGTGTATACAATAGGTAGGTTATGTGATGGCAACAAATTTTGCATATCGAGTTTTCGGTGGGAATGCACTTCTCTATAGTATTCTCTCTTCGAACAAAATTTACATATTAAATATTGCAATACAAACAACAAAGCGCTTGATTATTTAAATTTGTATTGAAAATGAGAAAAAAAACTTTAAATTGAAATGCATTAACAGAGAAACTACATTAGTTTGACTGTATTCTAATTGAATTAGAAAATGAGTTTAAAATTAAACTCAATTAATTGCTTACGTCAATGGGCATCTACTTCATTAATTGTTTTTTAATTTTTACCGACCGTATTGTGTAAACAATAGGTAGGTTATGTGAAGGCAACAAATTTTGCATATCGAGTTTTCGGTGGGAATGTACTTCTCCATAGTAGGGAAGTGTAAATAAACTATTTTTAGCAACCTGTCGGTCTGTCGGTCTGTGTGTGCACGCATGTATCTCAAGTTCTGCTGAACCGATTTTGATGAAATTTTATATGTAAGTTTTTTTCCACCATGGCACAGATTGATCAACTTTTGGGATATATCAGGCCTTGGGAACTGCACTTTTTTGCGGGCCTGTTTTACATTTTTGAACATTTTGAAGAAAATATTCAACCGATTTTCATTAAATTTCATATAATATAAGCTTTGCTCGACCGTCCGCAAAAATTCCTAGCTTTTGGAAGAAATCAAGCATCAGCAACTGGACGTTTACTACGGGCAAAATATACATTTTTGCGTATATAAAGGGAAATAATCGACCGATTTCATTGATATTTAATATTTAAATTCTTCATATTGAAACAATGAACATATACATTTTTTGGAAAGATCAGTGCTCGAAAACTGATTTGCGTGCCGATTTTACATTTTTCACCATATCTTCGGAACGAATTGATGGAATTTCTTGAAATTTGAAATTTGTGTTCTGGTTGTTACCGAAACTAACTGGCGAGCATTTCAGCTAACTGGCTACTAAGAGCCAAATTTACATTTTTCTCGGTATGTTCACTATAGGCTTAGTAATGTCCTAAAAATTGAAAAGACGTATTTAACAGACATATTTTTATATTCAGTAACACTTTCACCTAACTAGACAATACACAATTCGGTCGGTTATGTGATGATCACATCAGATTTTTTTTAATTTGTTGGGCACAAGGATTTCTCCCGTTCATCATTTAAGATTTCGCCTTAATCACCCATGTCAGTATGGTCTTTAATTTTATTAGACTTTTCTACATGAAATTTTGATTTTAATTTTGTTTTATTTTTTTTAAATAATAATTGTTAAAATATGTTATTTTCACTCGCTGCCTCATTTTGCCTCACTCGCTATTTTCTCTTACATTTTGCTCTTATAACATTAATAAAATATTAAATATTTTTTTTTACTTCACTAATTTTTTTTCGAAATGTTGTTTTCAAGCTCTTTTTGGACAATAAGTCTAACCCTGATGTGGTTATTAGAAACGTCTCATTAACCATTTGCACAAATATAAAAAGGGCAAAATACATATTAAAGTAAAACATATTAAATTGTGTGGTAAATAACATATTAATTTTATTGCCAAATTTTTATTCAATTATATAAAATAACCAATATCCTGTATTAAAGGCTAAAAAGCTCACTGGAAAAATCATCCGAGAATATCTGTCTATTATATTCACGTTCTTGATTCTCGGAAATGATGCTTTGATGGCTGAAGCACTCTTTCTAAGAGTATCCTTTATTTTTGGTTTTGGTGCTTGAATAACTGCAAATAAAAAAAAATTCTACCAATTTAATTTAAACAACAAAACAAACCTAACATAATATTTAAATAATTTTAATCATGATTGGTCTTGTGAGTTCCGTTTTATAATATTAACATTATTTTTGCAAATAATGCAGCCGACATTTAAAGAATTAAAAAACCTTATGTAAAAGAGACAACCACCGCTTTCTTTCGAGTTTTAAGGAAATTGATACGTTCTAATAACTTGTGGGCTAGAGTTCTCTTTGCAGTTTTTTCTGTTAAAATATGATATGTATACACAAATTTTTCTATTAGATAACGATTCTTTTTGTGTGTCACTGTTTCATCAATACTTCTTCCGCTTTATATATACTAATGCATATTAATTATAAACTTACTATACTAACTTTATAATTAGTTGTGTAGTTGTATTAACGCGTTTTTTAATTTTTGTTCTGTTTTGAAAAGCATTCAATTATTTTTACGTCATAAAATAATTTGGGTATAATACGTTAGGAATGAGGATGATTCAAGCAGCGAATTGTTTTTAAAAATTTTCAACTGTTAAAGGTAAAACTGTTACTTGACAATCCATTGGTTTCAATAAAATTTTGCTTCCCAAAATATTGGCGCTGAGAATTTAAAATCATAAATCATAATTTATTATTTTATAATAACCATTTTGAACTTTTACCCAATTAACATCGTCCCTATTCAGTAAATTGCAGCTTTATTACAAACCAATGTTGAAGTAAAGGGATAAAATTTGTTATGAAAAAAATATTAAGGGAATAACTTTTTATAATAAAACAAATATTCTTATAATTTGGTTTATTTCCTTCACATATCATACCATCTAATTAAGAAGACATTTAATCTCCTGATGGTTTAGTTGTGACTTGTGAACGTTTAAAACGTTGCTGTGAGTCTCAGCTTTTGTCTATCTTGTCTAATACAAAAAATACATGACAAAGAATTTGACATCTGTCAAAGCCTGCATTACTGAACTGCAGAGGAGATTTCGCGAGTTTTTGGATCAAGGACCAATTCTTCGAAATCAGGTAGGTATCGCATCGTCTTTTTGGCGGGTTTGCAAATTATTGACATGTGTTTGCAGTTCAACCTTGAAAAAGGATACCAGAAAAAAGAAATATTGATCATTTCGGACAGTCAAGCAGCCATCAGATCACTGAATTCTTTTAGAGTTCTCTGGGGTAGTGTGGGGATGTGATAGAAAGGCTCAACAAAAAGGGTAGATGCAACCGGGACACATTGTGCTGGCTGCCTTGTCATTTGGACGTAGAAGGAAATGAGGCAGACTACGCGAAGTCCGACCACTTATGGTTCGTGGAAAATTAAGGAAGGAAATGGAGAGGTGGCGTTTGAAGCGCTGGAGAAGCCTTCCTAGACGTTTGAACAAGATTGTTGTTCCTTGTGGGAGATAACGAGCAGGAGAAGGGAAATATTGGAAAACTTCGTATTCAATAACTATTACGAAATACGGGTTTCGGGGTGGGTGGTGTAGGGGCTTACCCTAGTTCTAGTATACCACGACCTATAGCATATAGGTCAATTTCTATATCAATCATATAGATCTATTTCAATCTTCAATCTAGTAGTGCATACAATGTACTGTTTGAAATTTATTGTTATACTTATAAGTAATAAAACAAAAGCATATGGTAACACTTCTTGTACTAAAACAAGTTAACCAAAACTTTTAGACTGTAGATTTAGGTTTTTCAAATTTAGTGCTATGATATTTGAGACGTTAATAAATAAAATTATTAAAATAATTTGTAATAAAAACCAATTATTAGATTTTACTTTAGGGTAAGAAAAGGTTTCAATGATTAGTAAAAGGTTTCAATAAGATTAGTTGCCAACGAGCGAGTAATTAATTTTTGTTTTCATTTTGCATAAAAGTAGTATGCATTTATATAAACTAATTGATACAAATTAATAATTGAATTGTGGCACTTCATGAATTTAAATTGGATTTTTAATAATATTAAATTAACTGCCTTTAATTAATAGCTTAGATTTAACAAAATTTTTTAAAAGATGCTGTAGTAATGTTACAAACTATTTATACCTGAATTTTTTCTATATCGAATGTTAATTCCATTTGTTCGTGTTATACGAAAACTTGGAGGAAATTTATCCAATTCCGTCGGCTCGGAAGTACCTGATCCAAAAGCGCAGTTTCCTCTTCTTAATGAAGCAATCGGACTCATTCTTACGTTTTGTAATTCTATTATACCATCACTTACTTGAAGTATTTCATTTTTATTACATTTGGCTAAATATTAAGTTCTTAAGAATAATTTAAAATCAAACACTAAATCATAAACCTTACCAAGTTTTTTCTCTTCAATTTTTTGCTTAGATTTCTTTTTTGCTCTCGCACCCCAGTAAGTGTAATTAACCGCAGCAAACTCCAATAAAGCTGCAAATACAAATACAAAGCACATCACCAAATATATATCTATAGCTTTAACGTACGAAATCCGTGGTAGTGAGCTACGAACACCGGTACTGATTGTTGTCATAGTTAAAACAGTTGTAATTCCTGAAGTATAAAACAAAAACTAAGAAACATTTTTCATTCTTTTTACACACGAATTAAAAACTAAATTAGAAATTTTACAAATGAACTAGAAACTGCATTGGAAGTTTAAACTGTGGTCTAGTAGATTTTAGATAACGGAGAATTTGAACGCCATTTTGTTCTTTTAAAGTTTAGCTATAGTATGCCGCGATAATAGAAGCAAGTCACTGCTTTTCTGCGTTTGCAAAATTCGAAAAATGCTTATAATAAATAATTACAAAATGCCATTTTTATGGTTTTGGTGGGATACAACTCGTAGAGGTTGGGAGATGAGTAAAAATTTTCTTCTACGGAAATAAGTTTTTGGTAAAAATCTATGTACATATGAAATTTCAGCTTTCTATTTTGTAGTAGACGGACGGACGGACAACTCCAAAAGTTAATTTTAAATATTTGGAACAATAATAAAGCTAGATTCATGAAATTCGACGGTTGTGTGCCCAATTATAAGTCAAATATATCACTGAAATTTTAGTGTAATGACTTCATAAATTTGGGTAGCTGCCATACAACTCCAAAAACAAATTATAAATTATCTGTGCAATTTTTATAGTTGTTTGGCAGGCTCGAATACTTGGGACTTTTTCAAAAATTTTTTGGAAAAGTGCTAAAAATGGGTAAAATTTTTGTTTGGAACTAGGTGTCATATCTCAACGTTTTCCATGATATATTGATTTTAACGAATTTTTCCAAAAAAGCTTTTTGTTTATAACTTTCCTTCGGAATGAGACAGAAGGCTAACGTGCCTAAAAATTTTCAACTGCTTTTAAGAATGATCTTATATTGACCAAAAATTGATAATAATTGAGATTTGCAGCACTTAAAATTAATAAAAATCAAAAAAAGTGATAAGTATTTGAGATTATACACTTTATGAATAAATTTTTAAAATTTTGAAGAAAGGTTTTTTTTACTATATCTCCTGAGCATCAAAGATTGTTTAACATTTAATAATTTAAATCAAAGCTTATGCTTATGGAGGAAAAAAAAATTTCAAAAAATTTTCTACAAAATTATAAGGTTAGGGAAACTTAAAAAAATAGAAAAAGGGAAAAATTAAATTTTTCTAAAGTAAGAATGGTTCTAAGCAAAATTATAAGCAAAAGCTCAGGCAAGTTTACATTCTTGCTATCTAAGAAACCGTTGAGATTTGGCACCTAGTTGCAAACAAAAATTTTATCAATTTTTGACTCCCTAAACGATGATAATATTGTATTTTTTACACCTTGCACCTTCGCGAAGGGTATATTCATTTTGATATGGATATCCATCCGTCCGATCGCAGGATAACTCAAAAATAAATAATGCAATCGAAATCAAACTTTCACAAGTTGTTTCTCTTGTGCCAACGGTTCGGGTAGCTGCAACTCAAAAAGGTTTTTTTTTAAATATTTCAAAAACTAATAGAGATATTAATATAAAATGTTGTAAAAGTGTATCCAGTTACGTCCTACATATATTCCGAAAATTTTAATAGAATTGCTGCACCGGTTCGGATAGCTGCCATACAACTCCAAAAGTTAATTTTAAATATTTGGAACAATAATAAAGCTAGATTCATGAAATTCGGCGGTTGTGTGCCCAATTATAAGTCAAATATATCACTGAAATTTTAGTGGAATGACTTGATACATTTGGGAAGCTGCCATACAACTCCAAAAAAATTTAAATTATCTGTGCAGTTTTTATAGTGGTTTGACAGGCTCGAGTACTTGGTATACAAATACAAAAGCTAATTTTAGATATTTCAAAAACAGATTTTTGAGCTGTGATTGTCAAGGTCGGTTTATATCGACTGAAATGCTTTAACTTGTTTTAGTACCTTTTAACTCTATATAATAAAAATAAAAAGCTGAAAATAATTTGTGCAATAATTTTTACAAAAAGTAAAAAAAAAATTTTTAATTTAGTATATGTTGGAATTGAGAGCGGAAGTATTAATCAGATGTTATGTATTATAAAGATAAGGCATGTAGAAAAAAAATTTCATACTGCTTTTCTATTGCTAAATACCCCTAGAGGAAAAAATAATATCAAAAATTTTTCATACAAAAAATTCTCTTAGCCAAGAGAGCTAAGCAGTGTTCCTTTTTCTTTTCAATTTTATACACACAGAAATTTTTAAGCGGAACAAGTACGTAATATATGTCTACCTATTTTTTTACATAATGTATTTTTAAATGCGGGAATTTTTTAATATTTCGTGTATGAGGAAAAATAATAAGAATTTTTCCTTTATACTTTATACACGGGAAAGAACTTTTCCTCATACTTTATTTAAAGCGGGAGTTTCCTTTGGCTAATTCAATCCAATGCTTCAATCCAAATTGTTAATTAAAAATAAATTTTTATCAATTTAAAAAATTAATCAAAATAAATGAAATATGTATAGTTATGAATAATTATGAACTTTTTATTTTTATTTCAATCATACCTCTATAAAATTTAAAACACATATTCTCTATGAATATACATAAAAACTCATCGGTTATATATTTTACAAAGTATGAATTAGTATACATAAACATTTCTTTGTAAATTGCTTTAATTTTCTTTATCACCTTATACATACCGTGTATCTACTGCAAATATGTACAATGTAACAATACATTAAATTACACATATGTATTTCTTTCATACATACATTTTTTGATTTTTATTAATTTTAAGTTTAACTCATACATATGTATCTATTTCTTTCATACATCCGAATGTTTGAACCAAAGTATACATATCTATGCAAGAAGTAGTTCGACTCTCCGTTTACATCACACTAATGGAATCACATCATGTATACAAAAACATTCCCTTTGCTAAAAGAGTTAAGCAGTATTTTTATTTTATATTTCTATTTTTATAGAATAGATGTCTAGCTTTTTTTTTACGAGTATAATGTGTTTTTAAAAGCGGGAGTTATTAATTTTTTCGCATATAGAGGAAAAAATATTAAAAATTTTAAAAGCGGAGTTTCATTTCTGTAATTTATTCCACTACTAGGTGGCAGAAATGGTGCATCCATATTATAAAAGCGAAGCAATTTAAAAACAAAATTTGAGTATCAAAATAAAAAAAAATATAGTTTATATGGAAATATAATTTGAAAAAGACAAATAATATTAAAAAAAAATTTGTAATTAGTAATTTTATTACATTTATTGTAATGTAAACTATGAATTTTTAATTTTATTTCAATTTTGCTTAATTTTTATACGTCGTCTACATTGCGACTTGACGTGAAAGAGTACTTGAAATTTGGCTATTAAATTTCAAATAATTATTAACATTTCAAGTCAAGTAAGTGACTTGAGTGAAGCGGCTTCAGGTCAAATAACGTTTATATAGACATAATAATAAGCTTGAAGTAACTATATAAACGGGTTACATACATACGTTATTTCTACATCAGATTGTGTATCTACCTTAAATAAGTATGTATGTACTGTATAAAAAAGTATGAAATTTTAAATTTTTAACTATTGCTTTTATACATTCGACAAAACCAAACTTATTTTTATAGTTCATACTTCATATAACTTCTAGTTATAGTTCATAATTCATATAGTTTTTACCAAACTTTTATGAAATGAAAAATAAAATATGAAAAATAAATTTTTTGTTATTTGGTAACAATAAATAAAAAGTAAAATTTAAAAAATAAAAGGTAAAATTTAATAAATAAAAGGTAAAATTTTTTTTATAAAAATAAAAAAAATTTTACCAAACTTAATTTAATTTAATTTCAGTTCAATATTTTTGATACACTCGTTTGCAAACGAAAAACAATTTTGCATATCGAGTTTTCAGTGGAAACGCACTTCTCCATGTTAGTAACCTGTCTGTCTGTGTGTGCACGCGTGTATCTCAAGTTCGGCTGAAGCAATTTTAATGAAATTTTATATGTAAGTTTATTTCGGCTATGGCACGGTTTGATCAACTTTTGGGATATAACAGGCCTCGGGAACTGCACTTTTTAGTGGGTGTATTTTGCATTTTTAATCATTTTGAAGAAAATATTCAAAAGATTTACTTGAAATTTCATATATAAGCTTGGCTCGACCGTCCGCGAAATCGCCTAACTGTTGGAAGAAATTAGGTGTCAAAAAGAAATAATCAACCGATTTCATTGAAATTTAATATTGAAATTCTTCGTATTTAAACAATGAACATATAAATTTTTTGGAACCGAATTTGCATTTTTTACTATATCTACGGAAAGGATTGATGGAACTTCTTAGAATTGGATATTTGAGTTCTGGTTGCTACCGAAACTAACTGGCGAGCATTTCACGGAATTTGCGTAGCACAAATCGAAAATCTACCAAGAGCCAAATTTACATTTTTCTAGGTATGTTAACTATAAGCTTACTAATGCCCTAAAAATTGGAAATAAGTACTTTACAGGCATTTTTATAATATTCTGTAGCACTTTCATTTAACTAGATAATACACATTTCGGTCGGTTATTTGCTGACTACATCAGATTTTTTTTAATAAAAATGGGATATTTTAAGAATAGTGGAAGTGGCAGGCAAACAAAAACTAACGCCTTGGAACGAGTTGAACTATTTCTTAAATAGATATACTTTGCTGTAAATTAAAAATTAAGGTTGTTGTAGCTAAAGTTGATTGGTTATTTAGAGGAAAAATTTGTATGTGTGTATGTACATATGTATACATGTACAAATATAGTCTGCCTGGGATTAACGTGAAAAAACTTAGAAAAGTTGAAAAAAACTTCGAAAAATAAAAATTTGAAACTTAGAAAAAACTATTTGTGAACCCTTTTTGGTTATTTTAATTTATTCTTAATTGAAATGTTTTTTTTTTCAATTTTTTTTTCTGAAATAAAACCTCCTGACATAACCAAGAAAAACATACATTATGTTTCGACAGCTGTAAGGTTTTAAAAGTTTTTAAAACACTAAATTTTACTTTGCAAAACTTTAAACGTTGAGAAAATG